CCCCGCGACACCCGCCCTCGCCAAGCCGCCGGGCAGCGGCTACTCGCGGCCGTTGAGGCCGGCGGGTGAGAACGCCCTCCCGCCGGACGCCTTCTACTTCTCAAACAGGAATAAGAACTGGGCCAACGATAGCGAGCCCACGGACGCCCAGCCCGCGAGTCCTCAGCCGGCGAGCCCTCAGCCGGCGAGCGCTCAGCCCGTGAGCGCGCAGCCGAGGAGCTCTCAGCCCGTAGTCGTCCCGTACGCCGGTTTCCAGCCCGCCCGCCTCTTCGCCGACGACGTCCTGCACAAGGTGGGTGTAGCGGCGGCTCCGGTCGCGGTCCTATAGTGTGTCAGTCGCGGCCAGCAGCGCTCTCAACCCGTCTCTTGCTTGCAGGTGGAGGTCGAGGTGACGGAGACGGGCACCGTGGCGTCCGCGGCCACGGCCATCACCATCTCCCGCGACGGCTCCAACCACGTGATGCGCTTCAACCGGCCCTTCATCTTCTTCATCCGGCACCGCGACACCAAGCTCATCCTGTTCTACGGCTCCGTGGTGCGGCCCATGCCCGAGTGGATCGTGCCCGGCGTGGACGTGACCAAGCTGCCGCAGCCCAAGCCCCCCGGCCAGCCGCACCGCCAGCCGCCCCCGCAGCAGGGCCCGCAGGCAGCCGGGTCCAGCGCGGGGCAGGCCGGGCAGGCCGGGCCGGGCCGGCGGCGCATGCAGCAGCAGCCCGCCTCGTGGCCCGCCGGCACCACGCCCCGCCCGGCCAACGGCTAGGACGAGGGGGTGGTCGTGTTCAACAACCACTTCTGACCGGGGTCGGTGTGGCGGCAGCAGCGCGCAGAGCCCCAAGCTAGAGTGACGACGGCCTCTCTGGCCCCGGCGCGACGACGCCCCGACCCGGAGTGCCATGCCTTGCCGTGCCTCCCCTACCCGCACGGCGCCGCTGGGACTTCCCCCCCAAGCCGAGGTCTGCCCTCGTTCACCACCGCTGAGGCGTTTCGTCGTTCGTCTCCCTTTTCGCGGCGCCTCTGCCCTCATCTATTTGTGATTTCCTCTCGTCACGGAGTTTTGAACATGCGAGCGAGTCGTGGTGTAATGTTGAACGTCAGGATTTGAGAACGAGCGAAACGGATTCCGTCTTTAGAGATGTGACTCGACTTCCTGAAGTGAGCTCGGCAATGCGTAAGCGAGCAGGTCTGATTTAGATTTAGCTATAAGTGTTTCTCGTCTTCCCGAACGAGGAGAGAGTACCTCGTACAACGAACTGACATCGAGCCTGATTTTGAAACAAAAGAAAGACAGCTCTATTCATTCTTGGGGGTGTACTAAAAGTCTCCTCCCAAGGTTTATGCCTTGTGATTTGCCGTGAGCACTTCTGAGGTGTACGGCTCTTTAAGACTTTAACAGACAGTTGCTCTTAGCTGCCAAAAATGGGTTTGTACCTGTATCTCTATTTTGTGATCCTCCTTTATTGTTAATTAAGTTCGATATGTCTGTATGTTTATATTAGTGTTTCTTTTAAACCACAGTGTTTTAAAATAATGTTGATAGTAATTGCGTTTCGACTGTGGCTGACTTTTTTCATTCCTCTGTTGAATAAATTTTATTTCTATAACGCTGTATTTTCCAGATTTGTTTTATTGACATTGTCACAATTTTACTGTCGCGTAGACAATCATGCATCTGGTTTAAGCTAATATGAATCCGAAAAGAACAATAATTATTGTGCGCAGTCGCGTGACAGTGACGCCGTGTCCGCCGTGTCCAGCAGAAAGTATGGCCCTGTCCCCCGCTCGATGGGGCGGGGGACTGCGGGCGGGGGCCGCGGATTGTATCGCGATGCGAGAGGAAAAGGGGACAGCGGGCAGCTAATGGCGATGATACGGGCCGATACGGCGCGGTGCTTCGACAGCTGTGGCCCGCTAGGGGAGTAACGGAACGTGTCGGGTGTCGGGGAGGGCGGGGCGGGGGAGGGCCGCTGATGAGCTCTTTCAGGGGCAAGGTCGATAGAACGACGTGCTTTGGTGAGGCCCAGAGACCGCCAATGAAGGGAATTGACACTAGCCAGGACCTGCGCGGTCCTAAAGATGGTCTCGCGAAGCGGGTGCATCAGATACCGGAGGCAATGGGGTATATATGTCACCTGGCGGCAGTTATGTGCTGCTCACGAGTAACCGGCCTTTCCGAATTATTGCCGAGGGGGTACTGGCTGCCCCCTTCTGCCTGCACCTCTTGTTAAGCACACCCTACTTTCAGCTGCAGCTGCAGCTTATACACATGATGAGAGCTGTTGCTGAAAAAGTATATCTTAAGCCTGGTGTGCAGCTCCGTGTGTGGCCGGAAAAATAATAATAAAAAGTTTATTTGTTCTCGCCATGCGCTCCGCGGGCTCGGCAAATAGAGAGAATTAGAGAGGCGCCTCAAGAAAGAAGCCAACGGCTCGTCGCACAGCCTGTGCTGTTTTAAAGAGTCATGCGCACGGACAAGGCTTTCAGCCATGAGTCAGGAGTAAAGTGCCTAAAGTGCTTTATTCCCCACCCAGGCACGAGAAGCACTTCGTCGGCTAATTCGCCGTGATGAAAGGCATGTTGTAATGCATCATAAAACTTTTGTACGTCGGAACGTCCAGTAGAGTAGTGTTTTTACTCATCCGGGAAGGCTTCCGCAGCGCCGGCAGCCACAGTAGGTACCTCACCGACGACTGTCGGCCGTGTCCTTGGATCGCGTGGACGAGACGGGAGCGACGTCCATAAATACGCTGCATGCGTTGACGCATTGACGTTGAACTGGAAGCTGTCCTGTTTTGGTGGCCCGGCGCGCGGCCGCTCGGTGACGCACGCGCGCAGGGACGCATTATTTTCCCTCCCCGTGGAAATGATCATCATCGTGATTAATAATTATTTCACCGGGAAATCAGACAAGTGGTTGTTGTGGTCGGCCGGCGTGAGGGTGTCCTCTACCAGCGCGCTGCTGATGAAGTCCCGAGGGCGTCGTCAGGGGGCGGCGTCATCAGGACCAAGCAGCAGCAGCAGCAGCGTTGGGGCCGCGGTCAAAGGCACCCCGGAGTCTGACGGCGACGCGGCGATGGCGCTTCGCCGGGCCCCGCGAGGCGCCGCGGTGCCACGCCGGCCGCGCCCCCTCGTCCTCGTGGGCCCATCCCCGGCCCGAGCCCCGGGCCTTGCCGACCGGCTGCGGCGCTCCAGAGCCGTCGCCTTCATCGTGCAGTGCCTCCGCCAGTCCTCCATCCACGGCATGGGCCACATCAGCACGGCCTGCCGCCGACACCCCCTCGAACGGTAAATGGGGTCCATAAATTCGGTTTCGCGTCGTGACTGGACTCTTTGACAATGTTAAAATGGAAATGATATATGGTCATTTTTTTTGGGGGGGGGG